CTCGTATAAACTAGGTGATGGTTTTGCTAGGCTGCAGTCCTGGATTGGGGAACAGAAAACGTGAGTCACCCCTCCCTCCCTGCACCTCCTGGCATCTAAGATGCCACCAGGCCTCCATACCTGTGGGAGCAGTGTGTCCCATTTCAGTAGCGAGCACTTCACCTTTTCTCCAGTCTTTCCCTACTCACACCCTGACTGTTATCTGGCGGGGCCAGGTATGAGTGGCACAAAATGTGCAGAGACCCCTTATATCTCCCACCTTGGCCTCTGTGGGCCAATGTAGGGGGACTTGGCAAGCAGTGCACTCAACCAAGTGGTCATTACCTTTATGACCTAGGATCAGGTAAATCCATCAGGAGAGTTCAGGTGGCTAAACCAGAATGAAGTTTGAATCCCCCACCCCCTTCTGCCAGGCTGACAACCAGAGGCTGTAGCAGCTAGGCTGGCCTGGGGTTGATGCTGGGGGACAAAAGGAAGCACTATGCCCAGGAATAGTCAGAGTCCCAAATCTTCAGAAAAGGTCTATATAACCCACCCCTTTTGTCCTGATCATCACGGAAGAAATGGCTGAGAGATGATTCTTGCCTGGGGACAACTGTGCTCAGTGACCACACTGAGATGTGTGGACCAAAAGGAGATGAGGGAGGTAGTCAGGGGTTTTGTCTGTCTCACTGAGATGTGTGGACCAAAAGGAGATGAGGGAGGTAGTCAGGGGTTTTTGAGTTTATTTTTGAGGTGGCCATTCCAATGCCTGATAATATGGAATGCCTGAAGATGGTGGGGAGCATGGCATGGCCATCAAATACCTTGACTATTGGCTCCTTGTTGGGTGGCTTTCGCAACAAAGGGTGCATCGCAGTCAGACTGTAGATGGTGTGAAAAGTCAAAACTTGCCATGGCTTAGTTACGAGGGCCACGGCGTGTGGTAGTCTCCTGATCAGAGTAGGGTAGGGACACGATAACCTGAAAATGGACCCACAGCAGCAAGGTACCTGTGATCGTCCAGAGAGGGGGTCAAAGGTCTGAGGTAGTCAGTCATCTAGGAGCAGACAGGAGCAATGCCCCATGCGATGTGGCTTCTTTACTGTGAGACAGTCTAACTTCTGGGAGGCATTATGAGTTTGCTATGTAGTGGTGGCTTCTGCATCAGAAACATACAGTTCTTTACTTTGTGCCCTGTCCACAATGGTGGATGTGTTGCCATGCCTCGTGCAGTGATGGATCTAGGCAGTGGTGCCAGTTGTATGGCCAGTGCAGTCTGGGTGGGCAGCCTGAATCCGGTAGGTAGTACTAGAGAAGGGTCCTTACCATGCGCATCTCCATGAATGACCCAGGGTGTCTGATTGGCAGATTTGTTTCCACGGTTTGCAGCTCCCAAGAAAAATGTCTTTGATCTGCCAGTCTCGCCAACAGGACAGCTAGGTCATTGACAACAACACAAAAGGCAGTAAACGCGGGCCACATTTCATCAGGGGAAGTATCGGCTAGAGCTATCACCACTGCCTTGAGTTCTGCGCATCGAGCAGAATGAACATGGTTATTTTGATTCTGCCTTGCTGGTGCGGAGGCTGAGTGTGGACATCATCAGGTGTCAGGGTAACCAAACCACCAGTGAACCAGGCAGGAACTTGAGGGGACCTTCTGTGAATTGAGGGCCCCATTGAGCTAGCAGGTGATGCTTCAGGTGATGAAGTGAGGAAGGGAGTTCTCCCCAAACGGATTGCCACCACTCTTTCATGTACAATTCAGATTATGTCCAGGACGGGCCAGCTGTGCTCTTGAATAAAGCATTTACATTTGACTGTGAAGGCCTTTTATTCTCCTCTCTTGATAGCCACCAAATCCAAGTTGACCTATCCCAGAACGAGGGACGTCAGGTGGAAAGTGACAGGACCTGTATGGGTCACAAACAAGGTAGTAGGTTCTTTAAAAAAAAAAAAAAAAATCGATGTACTTCTTGACTGTGGCCGACTGGTGGCGCTGTTGTGCTGGAAAAATGGCCTCTGCGTAATTGCTGCCGTAGAGGCTACTTTTCCCGTTCACCTTCTTCCTCTTGGAAGCCTATAGTTTGTTCCAGACCGTTCCGAGTGCTCAGGAATCACTTATGGACAAGCAGCAGCTTCCGGATGGGCAAATGCGCTGACAAGTAGGGGCACTCTCAGCACAAGCCTGTACAAGCATCAATACCAATTACATTTTCAGCCGTGGCACCCCCAACGCAGAACACTGAATTGGCCCAAAGGTCCCAGCTATAGGACTGCTTTAATCTCCCTTCCTTACTGCAAACGTCGTTCAGAGCCCAGCAGTTGAAATTTGGTGATTTTTTTACCTTATGGAAAAACAGACCAAGGAGTTTAGTGTGTGCCAATCAGTTGTAACAGCTGCAGGAGCTAGATCATGCTATTCCTTTTTTCTTTTTAATGATTTTATTTATTTATTTGTCAGAGAGAGAGAGAGAGAGCAGGAGAGACTACAAGCGGGGGGGGGGGGGGGCAGGCAGGGGGAGGGGGGGGCTCCCTGCTGAGCAAGGCCCCCCCCTTCCCCCCCCCCCCCCCCCCCCCAATGCAGGACTTGATCCCAGGACCCTGGGATCATGACTTGAGCTGAAGGCAGATACTTAACTGACGGAGCCACCCAGGTGTCCGGAGATCATGCTATTCAAAGGCAGAGGAGTGGGAAGGTTGTGGGGTTTCTGGGGGGGTGGGGGCAGGGGAGCAGAGGAGGGATGGAGGAGAGCAGAGAGCGCTGGAGGGCAGGGGAGGCTAGCCCATGGGGCAGCAGTGGGGGCAGCCGGCAGGCTTTTATTTTCTCTTGGCTTCCAGCTTTAGAGTTGCCATACCACTGCCCCCTCCCACATGTACCTCTAGTGTCAGTCCAGGGAGCACCTGAGCCCGGGGTCATTTTACCCCTGTTCCACACTGCATTCCTTAGTGCCTTCAGCCACCCTGGCTGCATCTATCCACAGGACATGGTAAGGTGGTGACATGGGTGCTTGGTTCCTATAGAGCTACAAACGTTTGAGGCCCTTCCCTCCATGAAGTTCCCAGCATATTCCATTTTCTCATCAAAGCAGCTGAGGGAAGAGAGGGATCAGGGCACACAGAGGGACACAGCAGATCTGTGCCAGCAAGCAAAGTTTTTTGGTCACTTTGGGTTTGAATGGCCACCGGTGGGGCTCACCCAAATACATCTGTAAAGCTTTTGGTTCACCTAAAGTTCTATTTCAAACATACCGACTGATACCAGTTATTTCAGCTTTTGGAGTCCTTTGATTCAGCAGCCACATCCATATTGTTGCCCCACTGTCATAATGTCCCATCCACCTCCTGCACGGATGAGAGTAAGGGGGAACCAAAGCACCATTCCGGGGGCTTGTTTCAATCCTACCTCTCCGTGCTTTGTCTCAGTAACAGATAGGCCACTGTGAGATCCTCACTTGAGCCCCCCTCACCCTGCCGCCCACCATTTCGGGAAGATGATTCACTAACATATGCCAGGTCCACAGGGTCCTTCCTGTTCCAGAAAGGCCATGTCTCTGTTAGCATCCCATCCTCACTGCCAAAACTGTCAGGGCCTGGAATTTGAATTTATACTGATGATCAGTGATTAATTGGCCTCTTACTCTTTCATGGAGGCTGGCCAAGATGAGACTCCTGGCCAGAGACTAAGGACTTTATTACTCTTGGCACAGCAAACAGCATAAGCAGAATGTTTACATTGCCTCCCTTTCCCCCCAAGTCCCACAGGGGCAACGTGGAGGGCCTCAGTGGATGCTGTGCATGCAATAGGTTTGTGTTGCATCTGAGGACAACTGAGCCTGGGGAACCCACTTCTTTTATAGCAGAAAATAAGCAAGCCTGCTCTTTGTCCTGGAGGGAGATATTACTACATTCCTCAAAGCTGCTCTGCAAGCACAAGCCTGAGAAATGGCACAAAGAACAGTTAGGGACCTCACATTCTTGGCATACCCAGAAAGAATGTGCAGGGACACTCCAAGCTCTCCCAATAGCTCCTACCCTGTGTCCACTTCCAGGCCATGCCTGTCTCTTTTTAATTTTTTAAAAAGATTTATTTATTTGAGAGAGAGAGAGAGAGAGGCATGGGGAGGGGCATAGGGAGAGGGACAGAGAGAACCTCAAGCAGACTCCCCTCCAAGCATGGAGCCCAACTCGGGGCTCCATCCCACTAGCCTGAGATCATGACCCAAGCTGAAATCAAAAGTCAGATGCTTACCTGACTGAGCCACCCAGGCACTCCACCTGTCTCGTTTTTAAAAGCCCTTCTTCTCAGTCCTGATGCCCAGACTGGTTGATGGGAGCAGAAACAAGGAAAAGAGCTCTTTTAGGATCACAGATGCAAAAGACTTAAATAGAGGTTAGCAGAGCAAATAGAGCCGGATACTTAAAGAATACTACTATATCATAACCAAGCCCGCTTTTCTAACATATAAGGATGGCCCAGCATTATAAAACCCATCAATGTATAATAACAGACTCAAGGATAAATTTCATTATTTCAATTAGCAGATACCTATGAACCAGAAGTTGGCAAAAATAACAAAATTCTAGCCTTCACTGAACTTACATTCAAGTGAGAGACAGAGACAAGTGAACAAATATATAATATGACATCTAGTAGTGACTGGGATAATTGAGAAAATAAAGCTGAGGGAGGTGACAGAGATCAACAATTGCACATGGTTTGATCTAATATATAAGTGCAAATTTAGCATTTGATAAAGGTAGGATTTCTGATCTGGGAGTAAAGATAATAAATGATACCGGGGCAATTAGTTAACATTTTTGGAAAAAATAAAGTTAGGTATTTATCTTTCACCTTTTACAAAACTACATTTCAGATAAAATAATGACCTAAAGCATATAAACATACAAAAGCATAACAGCATTAGCAGAAATACTGGAGAATATATCACCTGAGGACCCCTGGCAGTGGTGTGGACGTGGCTTTTCTGTGGCGCCCTGGCCTGGGGGCCCCTCAGCAACAACATGGTTCAGCAAGTTCCAGAAAACATGAATTTTCCTGCCAAAGAAGAGAAAATCGTGCAGTTCTGGTCCGAATTTAATTGTTTTCAGGAATGCTTAAAGCAATCAAAACATGGGCCCCAATCTACATTTTCTGATGGGCCTCCTTCTGCAACTAGACTGCCTCACTATGGACATACACTTGCAGGGACAATTAAAGATATAGTTACCAGATATGCTCACCAGAGTGGGTCTCATGCTGACAGAACATTTGAATGGGATCGTCGTGGCTTACCTGTGGAACATGATATTGATAAGATGCTGGGAGGGGCGCCTGGGGGGCTCGGTCGTTAAGCGTCTGCCTTGGGCTTGGGTCGTTGTCCCAGGGTCCTGGGATCGAGCCCCGCATCGGGCTCCCTGCTCCGCGGGAAGCCTGCTTCTCCCTCTCCCGCTCCCCCTGCTTGTGTTCCCTCTCTCGCTGTGTTTCTCTCTGTGTCAGATAAATAAATAAAATCTTAAAAAAAAAAAAGACACTGGGAACCAGAGGACCAGAGGATGTAGCCAAAATGGGGATTGTAGAGCATAACCATCAGTGCCAAACAATTTGTGGTGAGATACTGTACTGAGTGCAAATCCACCGTTAGAAGTCCACCGTTAGAAGAGTTGTCCAGGGGATTGACCTTGACAATGACTACAACAGTCTGTACCCACAATTCATGGAATCTGTCTGTTGGGTCTTCAAACAACTCTACAATAAAGGTCTTGTGGATAGAGGTATGAAAGTTAAACCCTTCTCTACCGCATGCAACACTCCACTTTCCAACTTTTGAATCTCACCAGAAATACAAGGATGTTCAAGATCCTTCAGATTATATCTGATTAACTCGCCTGTGGTGAGAGCAGAAAACCTCTGCCTTAAGAAGGAGGATGTGTGTGATGTCCTTAAGCATGTGTGGCTCTCTTGGTACAATGCCTTTCGCTCCTTCATCTGAACGTCCTGAAGTTGCAGAAGAAGGAAGACATGGAATTCTTCTACAATGAGAACATGTTTTAAGAAAGTGCTAACATGACAGACCGGTGGGTCCTGTCCTTCGTGCAGTCACTTGTTGGGTTCTTTGAGACTGAAATGACATGTTACAGGTTCTATATGTGGTGCTTTGCCTGATCAAGTTCACGGATGTCCTGACCAACTGGTATGTCAGGAGGAACCGGAGAAGATGAAAGGGTGAAGGACTATGTTATGGCCCTGGAGACCTTGTTTAGTGTCCTGCCTTCCCTGTGCAGATTTATGGCCCCCTATACACTTTTCCTACTGAGTTGATGTACCAGAATCTAAAGATGCTGACTGACCCTATTTCTGTCCAGGATTACAGACACACTCAGCATCCACTACCTCACGCTGCCCCATGTTTGAGAGGAGCTGACTGACAAGAAAATGGAGGGTGCAGTGTCTTGGATGTGGTCTGTGATTGAATGTAGGTGAGTGATTTGAGACTCCAAAAGCATTCTGATAAAGTATCTTTTGAAAGAAATTATGGTTATCCATCAGGATCCAGAATCTCTTACTGAGATCAAGTCTTTGGAGATGTCTATCACTGAGGAATTGAGTGTTTGAAAAGTTATGCTATCTACAGACAAAATACACACATGGCATTCACCTAAGGGCAGATCCTGATCCCACGGTCCTGGGGAAGCCTCTGAAGGGAAACTTGAAGGCTGTGATGTGTCCATCAAGCAGCTGAGGGATGAGGAGCTGGGGCGCTTCCAGGAGAGGGGGACCATTGTTGCGGAAGGCATGAACTGCATGAAGAGGACATTCGTCTCATGTACACCTTTGATCAGACAACAGGAGGGATGCTCAGGCTTTAGTTCTCTTATATGGATGAAGGAGTAGCTTACAACCAGAAACTTCACAAAAAGTGCAATCTGGTTGTAACTGATGAAATTATAGCTTATTATGAAGCAAAGTCTGAAGGGAAGTACCTGAATGTTATCGAAAGCCACATGGAGTTCATACTTGCCACCATAAAGGCTCTCTTGAAACCATATCCAGTTCCAACATCAGATAAAGTCCTTACTCAAGAAAAAAGAAATTAGGGGCACTTGGGTGGCTCAGTTGGTTTAGCATCCAACTCTTAATTTTGGCTCAGGTCATGATCTCAGGGTCATGGGATCAAGCCCTGCATCAGGCTCCATGCTAAGTACAGATAGTCTGCTTGTCCCTCTCCCTCTGTTCCTCCCCCTGCTTGCATTCTCTCTCAAATAAATAAAATAAATAAATAAATAAATAAATAAATAAATAAATAAATAAATATTTAAACAGTTAAAGGGGTCTGAACTGGAAATTACACTCACCAGAGGATCATCCCTGCCTGGGCCTGCTTGTATTTATGTCGATCTTAACATTTGTACAAGTGGCAGTAAGCAAGATGGGAGGATTACTTCCAGATAAGCCAAAAGTAAATAGGTTACACTTTTTAAAGCTGAAGTGTTGTTACTGGTATTTTTGGTGTAAAAAATACAGAGCTGGCTGTCTTCCATGGTGAAACAGAAATATGAAACCAAACCACTTATTGAGTCTCACTGGAAAAACCCTTAGGATGGCAGCAGGGTCTGCCTGCGCTATAGTGGACAGCCAGGCACTGATCTCTGCAAGTGCATCAACATGCAGTTCCCGAACAGGCCCGCAAGAGTGTTTAATAGGAACAGTGGGTACTCTCCCACTGGAAACCCCACTTAGGTAGAGTTGACTCGCCCGCCAAGGTCTTCTGTTGGAGCAGCCAAGGCGTTTGGCCTTCAGAGCAGGAAGCTAAAGCTGTTTCTGAATGAGACTCACAGATGAAATTATCAAGAAATCCCCATGGAGACTTTGAACATGAAGATGAATGTTTCTGTGTTCCGGCCAACAGCAGACTTCTAATGTTCATTATCAATGTGGTTCAGGCAGCCTTACCCTGGCACATACCTGAATGAACTTGGGAATGGAGGCCTTGCAGGGAATGGCAAGAACATAAGGCATCTGAGCATTTGACACTGCAGGGGGCTGACCCTGCCCTGATCCAACTATCATTGAACTTTTATGGGAGTCAGAAATAAACCCCTCCCTTATTTGGGCCATGGTTATGTTGTGCATTGTTCCCTGCACCTGAATCTAATCCTAACTGAGACCCCTGCCCAGCCCCAAGTGAAGGGCCATGATTAATGTAAGCCACTGGTTCTCAACTCTGGTCCACTTTTAGAATCATCCAGGGAGCTTATGAAGAACACCAGTATCTGGGCCCCATCCCAGATTGTTACATTAAAGCTCTGGCAGTTGGGTCCAAACACAGATGGTTTTTCTTTTCTTTTCTTTCTTTCCTTTCTTTTCTTCTTTTCTTTTTTCTTTTCTTTTCTTTTCTTTCTCTTTCTTTCTTTCTTTCTTTCTTTCTTTCTTTCTTTCTTTCTTTCTTTCTT